CAAAAAATGGTACGTGACCAAAAACGGTTACATCAGGTCCTAAGTCCAAATCGCACGTTTTCTTTGCTATCATTTTTCTATTTCTTTCGCTGTTTTGTCAAATGCTTTAAAACTACCAGAAATGCAATTTTCAAATTGAGCTAATCCATTCTCATGACTTGGGCGGGTCAGATTGAGCTTTTACCAAAATTTGAATGGATTCGGTTGAAAGGCCCAAGCCCAACAGCCAAAGTAATCCCTCTATATTCATATTCGCAGGGATGGAGACCGAGCTGTTGACTGTATCGCGAATGAAAAAGTTTTGCGAATGTGTCGTCCACCTATTCTTCTTAAGAACTAAACTACATTTTTCCTGGGTTTTTTTCTTGAGATACTTCCTGTATATATCCAAAAATAAAAAGAAAAAAGAAAAAAAGAAGCCGCCAGTTGCAATGTAGAAGTAGAACCCAATAAAATAGAGATTGAAGGAAGAGGTGAACAACTCTACAATTCTGACTTAGGCTGCTTTTCTTTGCAGGTACATACAAAACAAGTCCGGATCTGCTATCTCTTCTCAGTAGAATATGGACATCTTTGAAAATCTTCATATGTTAGGAACTGATAACAGAAAATTGTGGTATGTCTAGCGTAACGTCTAGTGTTGTTTGTAGGTAGCAGATCCAGATGCCTCACGGGGACAGACCTATAGTATTTTGACTCTGTATCTCCTGCCCACTAGAATTTTACTCACGCCTATCCACAAAACACTACCTCCATGCATTGAGAACATCCACATGTAAGAGGATAAGATGTTCCCCATGTGTAGCTGTGATGTGTAGGTGTGGGTAGGAAATCCAAACTCTTCAACAAAACTTCTTCCAAATTATGGCCATGCTTAGGAGTGTTTATGTTAAAAATAAGTGCTCAAAAACAATTGCTTATTTGAAGAAACACTTATTTGTATTTGGCACTCATTTTAAATGCTTATTTTAAAGAATAAATACTTATTTTATATTGGCTGTTTGATGGTCTTTTTCTCCAATAAGCATTTCTGACTCTTTTGTCCTTTATTTTCTTTCAAATTTTCAAAATATACCTTCAGTTTTTCAAACTTATGTGGGTGATTGGTGGGCTCTCTCTCTCTCTCTGCCCTGCCCTCTGAAATAGGACATTTAACTTTCAGGAAAAACAATTATATTTGAGTGGATTAATAGAACAGCTGCAAGAAGTGGATTACTATCTGGTTTAAGACCCTTTGACCATTTCATTCAAAGCAAATTTGAGTCTCAATATGGAGAACAAAAGTAAATGATTAAACAGCGACGCCTCACTGTAATATTCCAATTAGAAAAGCATTAATTATTAAAACCAGGTAATGACCAATTTCTTAAAAATGTCGAACAAAATTCTTGCTAGAGCCCACAATTAGGGAAAAAAAAAAAAGAACGGGACAATCGTAACATGGGATTGGGCTTTCACAGAGTTGGGATGCTTGTCTTTGACCATTTCACCTGTATTGCATATATGGACCTGAACTCGTTTTCTGTGACGGGAGATTCCAGTCTCTCCCGATCTTGGGATGCTTGTCTTCATGTGAGAACAGCAACCTGATGCAACTCTTGTAGATAGGGAAGATGAACGGAGAACCAATTGATGGAGAGGAAAGTGGAAGGGAAGAGGAGGGAGAGGAAAGGGTGAGCAATGTGAGGGAATAGAGAAAGACCTAAAGGAGAGAGGTTCTTGCCACTACTCTGTTTTTCATCTCAAGGTAAGAGATGATCAACAGTAAAATGGAAAAGGTGTTTATTGTGTAAACACTTGAGAAAAGCTGAAAATTTGGGCTTAAAAAATAAACTCTTATTTCCTAAACACCAATAAATGCTTAATGATATAGTCCCAACTCTTTCTTCAGAAATATCGTTTTTATTTCTCCAAATATATCATCCTCATAGAGAGAAATAAGGATGATATCACGCCAAATCTCTAATTACAACCATAATTTAGCTCAAATTATTGAATCCGAAAGTTAAAACTCTCTCATGCAGTCATGCCAAATGGGGATGGCAAATACAGTGATCAAGCATAAAACGGCTGGCCAAATGAATAAGTCCACACAACTACCCTTCATTTTCCAAATCAGTGCAATGTGCAATAAATACTACTCAAGTTAGTTCAACAACAGAAATTCATCCAGTTTTGGATAGGGATTATTACTTGTTAGCAAGTAAACCACTTGCTTAGATATGGCAAAAATGATGATCGAACCATACCCAACGATGCCAAAAGAAATTCGTCAACAAAATACGATACCATTTTCTGAGACGAATAGATACCAAACGTCTCAGTTATCACGGTCCACCACTAAAGAATCTATCAGAAAACATGATGAACAAGATCCAGGACTGGTGCAACAATATAATCAGGGAATGGTGCGTTGATAAAGAGGTAATGCTCCCAATGCCTCCCTCTCTGCTCTTTCCTTCTTTACCTGCATAAAAATATAACCCAACATTGATCACAATTGGAGCTTATTGTCACCTCAACACAAAAGAGACATTGCAATAGCTGTTTTACAGATTTTGTGCTGATAGTTTAGGTTTACCCTGCAGAGATCAACCTGTTTGAAAGGATGATATCTGTATTGAATGGAAAAAGGAATAAAGTGACCACAATCCATTCTCAAATATTCAGTGCAGGTAATTGAGAGCATCTAATTAGAAGGTGCACATTCAACCTCCAGACAAACCAAACAGGAATACCATGTAATTCACATGTAGAGCTAAAAACTAGGAAAGAAAGTGAACAAATAAAAGTGACAAAAGTATGAATTTTTTATTTTTTCAAGGTGTAAATTTGGAGTGAAGTTATTTATCGTGCATTTGTTTAAACACTGCAGGAGAAGAAAATTCTCCTTCACTGTTTGTGTGGGCAATCATATCCTTCCAGACCTGAGATGCTCACAAATTAATATGAATTCAGAGAAACAAACAAGGACTTTACAATTGGATAAATTGAATAGAAACTAGGAAAAAGAAGAAAGATGTCAGTCACTAATCATGGGCATGATCATGAGAAACTCATACCCTCTTTTTTGAATCAACCACCCTTGGAATTGTAGTTCCAATCACTGGCGAAACAAACTACAAACCATACCCACTATCAAGCAGAAAAGGGAAGAGACAATCTCAAGAAGTGGACAGTGAACAGCTAGAAAGAAGCTAACCTGCATAACCCTTTTAGAGTGAGCAGTGCTACCAATGCAGTCAAGTATGAATTTTGGCTTCCTTAGTTGATGCAATGACAAATTGGTGGCTTTTTTTCGAAAAGATAAAGTAGTTATGACTACTGCCAAAGAAAATAGCTCTCTTGCCATATGAAAATCCACATATGAACGGCAGTCGTATGGGAATAAATAGGATCTTTTCTGGTGCCATATGAACTTTCATAAAAAGATAAAGCATAGCAGAGTCGAAAGCACTTTTTGTTCATGGCTGGTTACCACAGGCCATTTAAAGTGCTACCGTATAGCAGTTTTTTTTTTTTGGGTTGGGATATTTTATTCATATAATCATATGTATACAGAGTATACACTTTATACAGACCCATTGTACAGCCCTTTGTGTACAAGGGTTTTCACACTTTTCAAATATTATCTTTTTTATAAGTACTTTTAAATATACTCTTATACATTACATTTTTCCAAAAAAAAACAGAAAAAAAAAAGATTTCAACACAGAAAGATCAGTAGAATGTTTTTTTTTTTTATCAGCGAAAGATCAGTAGAATGCTGGAATTATTAATAGATCCCAAAACCTTCATAGAATAAAGCGGTGGTCCTTTGAGACACTAAGAAGCAAGCAGTTCTTCAATGGTTAGCTAATCTTGTTAGTAATAGTTTACCGAACTCATCACAATCTTCTTGGCCCAACCAGTTCTTCAATTTGTGCCCAAGGTGAGAGGCGCACACCTTTTTGAAGCAAGGTGCAAAAATACAAAAAAATTGCTAAAAATAAAAAATGTCAGAAATATTCAAAAAATGCAAAAAATAAAAACATTAAACATAATATTAATAAGAAATATAAACTTAAATGTTAAAATTAATGGTTTAAAAAAACCTATTATCTAAAATTAAAATACATAAACTTAACATGTAAAGCATATTCAAATGAAAATTTAAAAATAAAATCAAACATATAAAACATTTCCAAGCATGTAAAGCCCACAATCACTTTTTTTCCTCAATTGCAATACTTCAAGTAGCTAATGTGATGTAAAACATATTACATTTTTTATTCTACAAGTCCATGTTAGGGCCTTAAATTCTTAATTCTCACACAAAAAATAATGATTTTACAATTTTAATTGCCTTTTAAGAAGATATTTTACTAAGATGAATGAATGAATACCATTGGGCCAAGGTGCAAGGCACATCAAGCACACGCCTAGGTGCACCCCTTTTGAAAGTGCTGCGTCGCCTACCCTAAAATGCGCCTCGCCTGGGGGTTCTCGGAGCTCCGGTTCGCCCCCAGCCTAGCCGTTAGGCCAAGGTGAAAGGCACATCAAGCACACGCCTAGGTGCACCCCTTTTGAAAGTGCTGCGTCGCCTACCCTAAAATGCGCCTCGCCTGTGTGCCTAGGCGCACTTGAGGCACGCCTTTTAAATCACTGGGCCCAACAAAATTGTGAAAAATATATTGGTTAAATAAAAGAAAAGAATTAGAACAAGCACTTGAAGGTAGTGGTGATCACCCCTATTTGAAGGAGAAGTTACCCCCCAAGAAAATGATTCCAAGCCATGACTGAAACCTACTCAGAGTTTTCCTTCTTTTGAAAAGTAAGAAAGAACATATGTAATGAATACTATAGGGGAAAGAAATCCCTATTGAATTTAGAACATGCACAGATATCCTCAAGTAAAAGGAAACCTGAAACAAAGTAGAGTTTACCACTTTATCTACTCCCATTACATCTCTGTGAACGAAGGAAACATATTTTCCTCTAAAGAATAAACATAACATGTTCTCAGACAATGAATAAACAAAAATAAAATAAATGAGAAACATAACATGGTCTCACACTCAAATGCAAAAAAGATGAACCTTACCCACCTTGATCTCCATCAATCATAAGTTGGTAAATGTTTGACTAGAAACTTCCACAAATAACATAACAAGTTATATTATTTTTATCAAGGAAAGGAACATGGCATAACATTACAAATGTTAGAAGGATACCTCCACAACCAAATATGATAAATCACATAACAAATATAACAATTAATAACGCATACACCTCAAAGGTAAAATGCAACCATTCAAAAGTTAACGCATTTAGCTGACAGTTAAGTTCTGTAGCAGACAGCCTGGCCAAAGCAGGATCTCATAGGGATTTCTTATATAGCGATAGAGGATAGAGTTAAGCCTATGTAGTGTTTAAGTGTGTTTTAGTGCTTCCATTGTACATTCTCTCATATACACTTCCTCTTTTAATGAAATTTGTTACCTTTTAGCTCAAAAAAAAAAGTTAATGCATTTAGTTAGGACCACTTACTAGAGTTAACATGTCCTGAAGATAGCTCCTAAACGGTGTCTGCATTGCCTGCAATAATGTAGAAAATCTTATTGCATAAGAGAACACATACTAGCAATTAATAACACATACTAAGTAATTGTATCTAATTAAGAATATTTGCTCAATTTCTTTTTTTTTTGGTTTCTTTTAGTACAGCAGGAAATAAAATGAGCAATAAAAAATAGACAAACATGCTGCTAGAGATTCACTCTGTGACTTTATTGCATTTGGAACCTCCTAGAATGCTCAAAATCTAATATTAACTAACCTGCATCATTACACCTTAAGCCAATTAAGTTGATTTCATCACAGGAATCACTAAGACAAAACCACATCTGAATATAGAATTGCATTTCAAATAAATCGGTTCCAGATTTTACCTATATTTAGTGTTATATGAAGTTACCTGTACATACATGAAGGGATGCCTTTGATTAGCATGTTCAGAGCATCGGGTGTATGAAATGCATTAACAATCAGATACATATTTTCTCATTTTAGTGGATGTATTATATAGTTATATTTAGTATTGTGATATATATATATATATATATATAGATTTGTATGATGCACTGCAACATACGGATGCCTTGTTCCTACATTAGCAAGCGAGATGCAAAGCATAGGCTTGATACATAAGCATGACAGGAAGAAAAAACTCAATGCTAGTGACATTTATAAGAACGATAGATAATAACTGCTCTACAGCTATTAACCTGTGAAAGCATATAAATTCCCAATTCGTTCATATCACGTCTACAAGTATACACCTAGAATTTACGGTTACAATAATGAGTATACTGCATCCATGCCCCACCCTTCCCCCAATTTTCTGATTCTCAACTTGCAACGATGCCAGTAAAAAGTCCAGTGGAACAATGAACAAAAGGGATTCTGCAGAACGGTCTAAATGAAAGATTACAGAAAAGGAAATCAAAATACAAACAATAGAATATCAAGAACAAAGTGAGGAAAGAGAAAATTAGCACAAAAGGAAAAAAAAAAGAACCTGTAAATCTTCGGGAAGGTACTCGTGTTTCATGGAAAGATCCATGGCGCGCTTGAGACGCTGAATCCTTGCGTCAACGATCTCACGAGGAAGGCGAGCCAGTGCTTCCTTTATGTCCAAATCGTACATCGGATCGTAGAGGTCATCATATCGAAGCCCTATAATGCATAAAGAAATCAACTCAATCAAATCCAGAAGACATAATAAGGAACATTAACCGGAAGAAGAAGAAACCCTAACCGTATTTCCTGAGGCGTTTGGAGAGGGCTTTCATATGCTGAGCAGCGAACCAGTTCTTCGATGGATTTAAGAAGGATTGAAACAGGGACGAAGCCATGGCTACGAACTTCTCTGCAACTCTCTCTCTCTCTTGCGCTTCCTCTTACAACTTTCACAGCCAAATAACGATTAAAATGAATTAATCATTCCCTCACGGCTTACCCCGTTTTATGACCATTGTCGATTAGAGCCGTTTGATTTGTGGACCATAACAATTTTGATGATCATCCAGTCCTCCACAATCCACATGAAGAAATCCGCGGTGGCCGATCCAGAGGGTCTATGGGCCGGGCTTTTAGGTCAGTTCAAGCTAAACGTAGGCCATGGAACTTGTTATTAAGTCTGGGCCCAGCCAAAGTCTACTGTCCTTTTAGCCGCACCCAGACCATAAGGCTTTATTTGTCATTTGCTTGCAGACCTGCAGTGCAATTTCATTTACTCTGGTGTAAAAGTACGAGAGTATAAAATAAATGAATTGAATCCAAAGTTTGCACTAATTTTGTTGTAAGTTCTACTTTTTATCGTTTGTTTGCGGTGATGGAAAAACAAAATAAAATCTGAACTAAAAATTAACCAAATTTTGCAATTACTGATTTACACCTCTTATACATTTGTACCAGTGCAAATGAAAAATTGGCCAACAAGCAGAAACTAAAGATAAAGCCCAGCACATTAAACAATGTATATCTAGTTTCTTTTTCCCTTTCGCTTACAACATAAGGATCCATATTCAATATAGATTCAGATGAAAAGAAAAGAAAATATATTTACAATAAATTCATTTAAAATTTGACCCAGATATCTATTTCTATACTAATATAAAAAGCACGAATAAATCATGAGATTTCTTGGATTTTACTTGACTAAAATACCCCTGATTTTGAATTTAGACATTCTTTATTTTGAGGGGTAAAAAATATAATTTCAATACCACTATTCAGTTCATTCAATCCCCTCTCATTAAATCCTATATTTAAGGTATTAACTCCTATTGATTTCTAAAATTTTTCTTGGCTAAAATACCATTCATTTTGAATTTGGACAATTTTCATTTTGTGGGCAAAAATATAATTTCAATAGTACTATTCATTTTATTCAATTCCCTCACATTAAATCCCATATTTAAGGTATTAACTCCTATTCTCTATTGTTTACAGAAAAAAAAACTATTCTCTATCACTGAATACTATATTTAAAGTTTTTTTTTGTTTTTTATTTTTAAATTCTATTAATTAAGTCTATAAATAATGATTTCCATAACATAAAAACCTATATTTTTAAAAACAACATCGAAATGAAACCATTCTTTCATCTAGGTGGTGGGTAAGTAGTTCAACAATTTGGGCCAAATGGATCAATCCAAAATGTCATAATTAAATAATAAAAATTAAAAATAGATAAACATATAAAAGAATAAAAAGCAAAGAAAATTTGTAGAAAAATTTGGACACATCACTATTGTTATATATTGTCATATTAAACATAAGTTTGATATGTTTTTTGTAAACTAAAACTATAAAAAAAAAAGAAAAAAAAGGAAGCTTATACAATAGAAGTACCCAAATGGAGTATGCAAAAACCTGGGCCATACAATAGCAACCCAACAAATAAATATGAAAAATATGAAGTATTTATCAATGATGAAAATAGAATATAAATTTTAAAATCAAACAAAGTTAAAACCATTTTCTATCTAGATGGTAGATTAATGGTTCAACCATTTGGGTCAAATTGGTCAACCCATGGCTTCATGATTAAAAAATAAAAATAAAGAAATACAAAAATATGAAAAAAATAAAAAATAAGGCAAATGTCTAATATTATATATTTGACATATTAAAAACTACATGTGATAAATAAGAATTGTTTTATTACTAATAGAACTTGAATATAAGAATTAGAAAAATTGATGTCTAATTTGTGATTCCACTAGCTAAGTTAAATGGTTAAATTAGGCCACCATGATGATAAGTAAATGGTCCTTTGCAAGTAGGTGATTTGGTTGTAAATGGACTAGAAATCATTGTTAGGTGATGGATTTACCCATTTGACCAGTTTATTTGACCATAAGATAAAACCATGTTCTAAAAGTCAATTGCAATTGCATTTCCCTCCCAATTAAATAAGTTAACTTGTAACGTCATAAAATAAATAATGAAAATACAAAATATAAAAAATTATAAAACTTATAAAAAATTTGAACATGTCTTTAATATTATATATATTCTTTCTATCTATGATGCTAGAAGGTATGATACCAAAAGAATTTTAACTAATCATACCCCACTAAGAAATTTTAATGAATGTCACTTGATTGGTACCTGGCATATGAAGGAACCTAGAGTAGCTCAAAAGGAGAAAATTGAGAGAAAGTATATTGAGATGATTTGGTCATTTGCATGTAAAACCATATATAAATCTCTTTAAAAAGGTGTTCAATTTAATCTTGAAGGGCTAGAAAAGCCAAGGATAAATCAAGAAAGACTTAGGTGACGATGATAACCATGGTGAAAGGGGATTCATATAGCTGATCCCATATAATTTGGACAAAGCTCTTAAAGGGGATTCAATCACTTATCTTTGAAACACAAGCTCTAATAAGAGCATTTAAATTTTAGTATCATTATCTTTGGAAATTGCCACATGCAATGCATGTGGACATTTACTAGTTGAACCAAAAAGATGATAAAATCAATCAATTGGGATACTGAGAAATACTTCAAAAATTTACAACCAAAATTTAGAAAAACAGGACCAGGCATCAAACTAAAAGTGGCTAACTAGGCACTTTGACATCAAAACTACTTTTAACAGGCAGATTTTATTGAATGCCCTTTTAGGATAGCCGAGTTGAACATTCAACTAAGCTTATTTAACTGTTTTGAGGCACTCTAGATAAGTTATCTAAAGAGGTTGAGGTGGGCAACCCAAAATATGACTGGCTGACAGCTGATTTTCAGGTTCTTTACCCAGCATAGCTTAAAGGCTACCAGTGTAGGATCCACCTCGAAAAACCAGAAGCCACTGAACTTCAGTTGAAGAGTTTGCATGCGCACCCCATAGAAACATCCCAACCATGTATTAAGAACATGTAAATGTGGGGTACACTGAGATGTTCCTAATACACACTGAGATGTAAATGTGGGGCACCAATGTATAAATTCACTTCAGTCCTAAAGGCTTTCAGGTGGCAGCTTTTGACTTTATAAGATGGTATCTATCCAGATAGCGTATATGCAATATTCGATAAAAAATGTATAAAGCCCAAATATACGGTGGTTCAGCCAGAAAATGTGAAACTTCTTTTAGTAGTTTCCTCAAAGCAGCATATTAAAAGCATCTCAAGCAAAACTACAGGCTCCCTGTCCGTCCAATTTTCAAAACACATTTTGATTGTATTTGGTTTAAAGGAAAATGTAAGGAAAGGAAGGAAAACTCTCAGCATAATAACTTATCGTTTCTTAAACAATTAATAGTTTCATATTATTCTTTCGACACATACTATGGAATTGACATGATGGCTCCATTCATTTCATGATGAATGGGACTGAAATCTTTTTCACTCTAAAATGTTTCAGCTATACTTGGGGGAGTGGTTTGGGCACATCCCTTATTGATTAAGAGGGATACATGTTAGGAATGGCAATTTTCTTCATTCCTGATAAGGATCTGACTTCTCCAATCTGATGGGGTCGGGGACGGGGATTGTTTTGGTAGGGAGGGGATAGAGACGGGGATTAATAGAAATCTCCGATCAGGTTGGGGTCGGGGATGGAGGACAAATTTTATCCCATCGAGGATGGGGATGGGGTTAATTTCAGAATCGGGGACGGAGACGGGGAATCCCTGCCCCGTTGCCATTCCTAATACATGCTTAATTTAAAAGATAGAAGCTTCCCTATGTTTTGATTTTGCAAAAATATTTCAGTAGGGATGTGACCTAATCAGTCATGATTACTTTATATTTCTACCAATTTTACTATTAAAGTAAGGTTTTCTGAGTGATCAACACTTATTGAAGCAAATGTTGTTGGGAATTGAATTTAAATGTATAGAATTTGGAAAAGTTTATATACTAGAATTACTGTATATTGGAAATTAATTGTTTTGATTGTTAGAGAATAAAAACTTATTTAGGGACCTCACCTAACACTTTAAACTATTATGTTAAACAGTTCCTTGAAATGGTATCAAAGATTGTTTGACCAAGTGATCTGGTACATATTCGATCTTCATTGCCCCCATTATAATTAGTTAAATTTCAGTACAAGACATGGGTGGATAGGTGCTTATCCACGCTTCAAGCCCATTGGGCTTTTGTGTGAAAGGACGTGCTAGAGAATGAAAACCTATTCAGATACCTCACTTAGTTTAAGCTTTTGGGTTGGACGGTTCTGAGATGGGTGATGCATTGGAATTGATCCACTTGATCAATAACAATACAAAGTGCCAGTTAGACCAATCCACCTGAGTCATGCTTCAATTACAGAAGACTTAAAATAACTTTTGAAAACTTTGCAAATATTTACTCGGAAATACACTTGTTTGATGTGAATTTATGTTCATTTTAGACTTGGTTGGTTAATCTTCAACTTAATTAGGACTCATATATAAGGCAAGTTATATAACCCTAGAAAGTTTGTGGATCATGTGTCCCTAGGCCTAAGCTTTTGCTTTATGTTAAGTTGAACCATAGAAAATATCTTTATCATATATCTCTTTTATTAATAAACTTTTCATCATATCTCTTTTTCTATATTTTCTTGTTTTAATATTTCTTCCATCTACATAAATATTCGTCACCATTATCATGTTAAGCGATGTATGTCATGACATACCAAATAGTTTCTTATTATTTTTTCATTAATATTATATTTGCCAAGTCATATATTGTCATGGATCAAATCATTGTTTATAATTTTGCATATGATTAGTCAACTTTCTACTACACAATTATTTTCTGACATTTTTCTTTTATTTGATATTTACTGATTTTAATTTTTTATTGAACATATGAAGGCTTCTATCATTGTTGGGTTGATTTTGTTAATTGTGTTTGGTTGCAATGCAAACAAACTTGTACCGATGCAAAGCTATGGCAGTGCAAATGATTTTAATGTAAATTCTGACCTATTTTTGTTTCAAATTTTAACTTATTTTGTTTGATTGCAGTACAGATGAAGTAAAGAAAGACATGAAGCAGAATAAAATAAAACCCAAAACAAAGTTAAACCAGAATTTGCATTTTTTTTTTCATTTGCACTCCCATGCATTTGTACTAGTGCAAGTAAAATTGCACTGCAACCAAACGCAGCCACCTCATGCATTGGGTACATTATGAACATGGGAATTGCTTAAAACAACATCAATTGGAAATTTAAACTCAAATTCTCAAAAATGTATGAATTGGAATTCCACCATTGACACATTGGGTACATTCAAACGCCCAAAGCCAAAACTCCAACCTTCAACCATCTCATGCATTTGGTTCAAGTTTTTTTTTTTGGCAAAGAACATTTGTAATAAAAAGTTGAGAACACAAGTAAAAAAACCAATTGTTTTATTTTTATCTTCCTTTCTTTTCCCTTGTATTCCCTTTGCTCTTCATCTTTAAAATCACCAACCCATCCATTCCCTCTTGCTTCTGCTCTTAAGTGGAAACAGCAATTAAAATGTTCAAGAAAAATATCATCCAAACTAATATATACATAGCTTGTATTGCAGGGGTGAAGTTAAATGGGGCGACTTGTTAGAGCTTAATTAGCTGTTGCCTTGAGTGATCATCTCCACCAAATCCATTTCCCTCTTGATCACTTCACCATCCATCAACGGAGACATATCTAAAGGCATATCCATCTTCAAACTTTTCTCATCCACAATAGATGCATAGGGCATCTCCTCAAGTAAAGATTCAATGCTGCATCTCTCAGGAAATAATTTGGTGCCCGAAGAGAAATCCGTTGTATCACCAAAATCATAATCAGAGACTAAATGATCAGCTGAGCAAGAATCTGTACTCTCTACTTGAGTTGGTGATCTTAGCGTGGTATGAACAGGCAGCATGTTTGAGTTGGTGAGCATGATGTGTAGTTGATCCGTCTTGGTTGATACTGCAGTCAAGCTCATGATGTAATTCTGTAGGAGGGAACTTGCTGATGATTTGGAACACTTGGAGCTTCGGCATCTTCGCCTTGAGAATTGTCTTCTTTTGGTTGCATTCCAGTGATTTTTTATGGAGTTCTCGGTTCTTCCTGGTAACCTTTTTGCGATTTCTGCCCATTTGTTTCCTATTTCTGCATGGACTTGAATTAGAATTCTGTCTTCTTCCTCACTCCATGTATCTTTCTGCAAAATATATAGAATTTACCCATAAAATTATCCTCCACAAATAAATGTATGCTTTGTCATGAATTTATCATGAATAATGTATGAATGAATGAATTCGAAAGAAGAAGAAAAAGAAAACCAGTATAAATTCATGCATTTAGATATGATCAATGTGTATGCATGATAGGCAGGCCGAGTCATAACACTTCCACATACATGCAAAGATGCTCGTTAACATGGATATATATCGATGTATAAATGCATGTATGTATATATAGTTACTTACATGCTTATACAATATTGTTATCTGGAATGACTGAATTCAAATAGAAAACAAACGAAGAAGAAGAACCTTGATATTAGGCCTTAAATGGTTGTGCCATCTCTCTCGACATTGTTTTCCTATCCTCCCATTCAACTTCTGAGCAATTTGAGACCATTTTCTCATTCCATACTCTTTCACCAATTCGACTAATTGTCTGTATATGCACATTTTCATGATCAATTCATCTACAGTTCTACTATTGAAAAGAGCACCAAACACAGAAATCCAGATGACTTAAACAGGAAGTAAATTAATAAAATATTTGTACCTGTCTTCTTCAGTGGTCCATTGCCCTTTAACTAAGTTGTGTCTGGTACGAAGCTTGCTTGTCTTTCTCATCGACACACCCCTCTTGTTCAAGCCAACTTTCCTATAAAATTCATTGTTTGCAGTAATGCATGAAATTTCATCTGAAAACTCGAAGCCAGACGATTCAATTTCATGGAAATTCAGAGGAGGATGACTTGTATCTTGTTCCATCACATCGACTACAGGAGTCATCTGAGGAGAATACAGTAAACCAAGTGTCCCCATTCCACAATCGTTTATGAAAGGCTTAGACTCGGAAGCATCCAAAACTGTTGAATATCCATTTGCTAGTGTTTCCAGTTGATACAAATACGCACTTGGAAACCCAAATTTCATATTTGATGATGACCCATCAACATGAAATTGATCAAAACAGTGATTTTCTTCAAAATATCCATTTGATGAGGAATTTTCTAAAGAAAACCCGTCTCCGAAATGGGGTTTCGAGCAATTCTCTGATAAAAATATGGGCTCGAAAGCAATATCATCTCTGTAGTTTTTATCGAACTCCATGAGACACACCGAGAGAGAGAGAGAGAGAGAGAGAGGAGAGAACCGTGGAAGACGATTGAGTTGAATTTGGTGCTGTTGGATGTTTCCAGCTAGATCAGCTCCCTCAACGCACGATAAAGCAAATAAAGACTCCCTTCCTTATCTTCAGTTACTACTCTCTCCTCTCTTAAATTTCATCAGTTACTTGAGCTAAGATTGCCTAATTTTTATCCCTTCGTTTATGAATTATATACTCCGTTACTATTAAACCCCATTAATTATATATTCTCTCTCTCTCTCTCTCTCTCTCTCTCTCTTCCTACCAGAACGTTCAATGTCTTCATATATGCGTTAGCTGTATTTAAAGCTCTCTCCAGTTTCCGTTAAATTCCTATGGGACCTCTGTTTGAACTGTTGGATCTCTCTGGCTTTAAACCATCAGCTTCCGCTTCCCTTTTGATTTCCTTAATTATATTATAATAAATAGTAAACGATGAAGTTGTACCCGAGAGCCCAACTCTTTATCTGGAACGCAGGAATGTTTTCGGTGATGAGAACAAGAGACAATATCTGCCCTTTCTGTAGAACACAGGCGAGAAAGCAGGAAAAAGTAGATTCCTTCTCAGAAGACTGAAAGATACATGGGATAAGTCCAATATAGCTATTTAGACGACTGTAGGGTTTTGTGTTGGAATACTGGAAACCCAATCAGGAGGAGAGTTTGGAGACACAGCTATGGCATGATGAAGCATGCATGGTCATCTAGGAACAGCAGCAGTGGACTGCGTTTGATTATAAAAAGAGAAGGCAACTGTATTTTGCAGCTGCTGCTGCAACAACTCCTATGCTATTTAACTGACAGTTCTTCAGAAATTGCTGAACCATGAATTGCCCAAGAAGCATTGCTTCTTGCAAGTTGCAACGACTGAGGCTGCAAAGATTATCAAACTCACTGAACATTATCAGATTAATTTCTATATAAAAAGAAGCGTGCCTGTCTCCTCTGGGAGATCAACTCGAACTTCAACTTTATTACCCTTTGTCTCCACTCCAGTTTTCCTCTTCAATTTCGTGGGATTTCAGCAGTGTAGTTATATCAGAGTTTCTGGGGAAAGTGGGCAAAAATCATGTTTGCTTATGCCCCTCTGTGCAGAATCGCCGATTACCGCATAATTCGAATTTTGTGGAGTCCGGATCTGCTGCACTCGTCTTGCAATTGCACTTCGCATTCAAGTTTGTAACAGATGTTTCAGTACTACACTATGGTCTCAGTTCAAACAAGTGCATGCGCAGCATATCCCAACTCGGTACTGTGGTGTTTCGTTCCGTCTTCCATCCAGACAATGCCACATAGGCGATTCAATTTGAAAGAAGCCAGATTTTCTGTAGACCCAATGAATGAACGCCACCTGTTGTTTGCATAGGTGATGGTGCTCCCATGTATGCTTTACTACTTAACACACAACCCACTGTTTGTCTAACAGCAATTACTTCTATTACTTGTATTTTTAATTTATGTACACGTAGCCCATAATTCATGAATCCAAAAATTTCATGTTTTTTCTTTCCTTCCTATTTTCACTCTTCATCTCTTTCTTACCTCCTCTTCCTTCCCTAAACCCTAATCTACTGGTTTTCTGGTATATGGACTGAACCAAAACAGCCTAAATTCTTCATAGAAGGATCAGCATACTCCAAACTCTCATATTTACATATTTGTCATTGGGTAAGTCTTAGATTTAATTTCAACCATCTAAGTTAAATGGTTTGATTATTTGAATCCAATTTTCCCCTCTTTTGACTGACAAATAATTATTATGTGAGTTTTTTTTTTTGGGTAGAAAAGATAATCCATTAAGAACAAAAAATTATTATATGATTGTTTTAAAACTTCTGAAACTTCGGTAGAAATTGAAGTTAGAAGTAATCAATCGAATGCTCCAAGAAAGACTTTCTATTGAAAATTATTGTTAACAAAACTTGAATTCTTTGGACTGGATCCTTTCCACATTACTGTTCTTCAACTTTTCGCATTGAAAAGTACAGCAACAGCTGGTCACTTCACTGGGTATGATTAATACATAAACAGTTCTTTTATTCAAGTTCCATATGCGAACAATGCTTGCAGAAGAATAAACTTTTGCCTAAATTAAATACAGGCCAAGTAAAAAGAAAGTAGAGAAGCAAGGATATATTACAGTAGTTAAACTTTAGTTGAGGACATGAGGTCATGGCTTTGGGTAGGGTAGGTTAGAGTCTGGGGAAGAAAGACGATTACATGGTGGTCATTCATTGGGTCTACAGCAAAGTCAATAGCTATAGGTCTATAATAGATCCGGCTTCAATTTGAAATAGGATTAATACAATAGCTTGCCTTTGAGTTTCCCTACATGCATGCACACTGAAACAATAGCGCATTCACTTGCATTAGGTTTTCCATAGCGAGTTTACATCTGCGCCCCACAACGTCCCATAGCACATCTCCATTATGTATTGGAAACATCTCTCGATGATAATACCAGAAATAATAATATAATCATCGGGAGATGTTTTCAATACATGGCGGAGATATGCTGTGGGACATTGTGGGGTGTCCCCTTATGGGGCACAGATCTGAACTCCCCTGCCATCCCAACTCATGAAGTAAAGCCTGTTACAAAATAGAACGGAGAAGCTATGTTGGAATAGCTTTAACGGAAAGTGGATTTTTCCATTCATGTAAGCTTTTTTTTTCGAATTTCTGGATTTTTAGCTCATGCAATGCCAACGCTAGAAGCCGTTGTGTGAAAACCCTCCCAAATGGGCACTAAACATACCACAAGCAGTTTCACTTTTTCCCAAACAAACAATTTAGTTAAAAATACAATACAACTTATGAGACTGTAGAGACCAGTCATAGTGGTTATAATTTCAACAATTTAGTTGAAAATCCTAAGAGCTTTGAAATGTTAATTGATAGATTTTTCAGAAAAGTATGGACAGGCCTAATAAAGATTTCTGAATGACGCTGCAAATCTATAAACATTCGAAAGATTCAAAATCTACACTCTGTGCATTCATATCTATCCGTGAATTGGCATTAATTCCAAACTGGCATCTACTCCAACTGTAATTTGGGCTTATAAATTCTGATCCTAGGCTGAACAGTCATTCTCCCTATATTTTTCTACATCTTGAATTATAGATGTCATCTTCTCTTTTGGCTCCCTCTGGAAAGAATACTGCAAGTACAAATATGATCCGTGCAAACCTTGTATATGTTTCATACTTATTTCTTTTTTTTTTCGATAATATGATCAGTGCAAACCTTGTATATGATCCATATTTATATTTCTTTGTTTTTTTTTTTTTTTTTTTGATACTACAGAGAAAAAACAACAAAAGGAATCGTGACGCTTGGAGAAATGCCCCCCAAACATCAAATTAACAAACAGTTCATATCCGAGATACACGAATGTCCATATTTATAATTCTATGCAAAGCCTTTGCTAGTTGTTGTTGTTGTTTTTTTTCTCTAGTATGTTTTCAAAGGTCATATAGCCGAACGTGAGAACTCAAATCATGAGACTTTGAGTAATACATTTTCCGTTGAGAGCCTTTAATTTATTGCTTATTCTCCGTTGAGAGCCTTCAAAACTTAAAATTCCGTTATTTTATTAGTATGGAACCAGCAACATATGGTTAGGATTAAGATTTAAGCTATTAAAGTAATACATTTTCTGCTACATTAGAAACAATTAACCTAAGGGTAGGCAACGTTTTGATTAAAATTCTGCTCCAAAAAAATCACTATTTGAAGAATGAGTCCTGAGCTTAAAGAATCAATTCTTAGAACGAGTTTTGAAATCAGAAAAATAATTAATTCCAACAATTTTCATAAATTTAAACTTAAAAGTGATTGAAATAAAAGGATGCCAAACAATAAGCCAAAAAACCACCCAAATCTCATTCTTGTTTAAAAGCCAATTTCATTATGACTAGGGATGGCAACGGGGTAGGTTCGGGGTGGGGATCATATTCCCCGTCCCCGACCCCGATTATGAAATTAACCCTCGTCCTCGTCTCTGATCTCCGTTGGGGATAAAATTTGTCCTCCACCCCCGATTTCCAACGGGGATGGGTTCCTCGCAGAGACCCAAATCCCTGAATTTTTTTTGATAACAGTATTTATTTGAAAAATAAATTTACTTAAATAAATAAATATTTTAAATTATAAATAATTTGTTAAATATATTATGACATATATATAATACAAATAATATAATAATATATATTTAATATAAATAATATAATATATATACATATTCGGGGTCGGATTGGGGCAGAGACCTCAATCCCCATCCCCGACCCCATCGGGTCAGGGAAGTCGGGTCTCATCGGGGATGGAGAAAATTGCCATCCCTAATTATGACCTACTAATTAATGAGTAAAGATCCAAAATGTGTTATGATCACTGAGACCTGCTCCCTTGAAATCTTTGGATGATTGATCAGAAAATATTAATGCTATGGAAACGCTCCAGTTTCATTATGAAAATGCAATTCTCTAATTATTCATATTAGGAAGCTATTCTTTCACTTGCCCTAGGAACTTTCTTGGAGAAATCAAATAAATAAATTTATACTATTATTAAAAGTGTGAATGAGAGTGTTAAACATTTGTTTTACCAAAGTATTCCAAATTTTTATTTAGTTGCTCTTTAATTGTAAGTACAAAAATATAATTTTAACAACCATTTTTCTCTTCATTCAAATCTCTCTCATATTAATACTTGTACTTAAGATACTTATTCCGGTTAACATTCATTGAATCATATTCTAAACTAAAATACCCCTACTTTTGAATTGGGTCCCTTTGGGCACAAAATATAGTTTGAACTATTATAATTCTCTTCATTTAATTCACTCTCATTAAGCATTATATTTAAGGTATTAAATCTTATTATTTCATTCAATCCTATATTAATTAACCATATTAAAAAAATAAATATGGCAAAGAATAATTATTTTTATTGACGGTAG